GGGGAGAGAGTCACATGCAGCTCACGAGCTGTGGGTTGGCCATGGCTGGTCTACATGATTAACTGATGAGCCTGGGCTTATCAGTTAATTTTGTTGACTACACACACTCTTCCCCTCCCCTCTCCCCGCTGCCTCTGTAACAGGCAGCAACAGTGGGGGGGAAAAGGGGGAGTGGGAGCCAATGCCCATGAGGAGCTGGCTTTAAGTAGGCTCCCCATGAGCACCGGATCCATCTCCACCCCACTCTGCTGCCTTTGAGAGAGAGGCAGCAGCGCAGAGGATGATGCAGGGCGGGGCAGGCTGGAACTGATATGTGAAGGGAGTCAGCTTTCAAACTAGCTCCCTGCTCCTATCTGTTCCCATGGACCTGCCTGCCCCTCCTTTTGCTGCCTCCTACAGAAGCAGCAAGGGGGGGGACAGGCAGCAGCCAGTGATGGGAGGAGCTGCCTTAAAAACTGGTCCCCCCTGCCCAAACACCAGCTCTGTATTGCCACCACCGCCTCTGCTACACACGCTGCTGCCTCTATCAGCAAAGCAGCAGCCCTTGTCCACAGAGGGCCAGAGTAGCCCTCTGTCCATGGGGAACTTGGACTCCCCACAGACGGGCTGCTACCACCCCACACTTCTGGGAGCTGGTTTTTAAACTGGCTTCCCTCGTGGACCAGCTCCTGCCTGCCATCCTGCGCAGGATGGCTAGGAGCTCCCCGGGAGAAAGTTGGGAGTGCACTAGCTGCTGGCCTTGCCCCCAGGGACTATCGAATAGTTGTGTAACCAGTAAGATTTCATGTGGTTACACAACTGTTCAATTACATGATATCTAATGTCCCTATGTTGAATAGAAGTTGTCTGAGCTGAACTTTCCAGAGGATCAAGTCTCCATGCATCTGATGAAGTGTGTTTTACCCACAAAAGCTGATGCTCAAATAAATCTGTTAGTCCAGTGTTTCTCAAACTGTGCTCCGCGGAGCTCCGGGGCTCTGCGATGTGAGGTTGACAAACTGGAAACATCGATAGGTACAACACATAGCCTCGAACTGACGCAATTAACACACACTGCTGGGGCTCTGCATAAATTTTTATGCATGGAAAGGGCTCTGGAGCCCAAAAAGTTTGAGAACCACTGTGTTAGTCATTAAGGAGCCACAGGACGACTCATTGTTTTTACAGAGGAAGTTCATTTCACTTGTTTTGTTTGTTTCTTGCCTTGTTAGCAAAATTCTGATTTCTTTTAGCCTGATTCCTGTTTGTTTGTTTTTATCTTTCCAGGCAGCGTTTACTCTACTACTGGGTCCTTTCACCTTTTTTAATGTCCAGAAGACAAAGTATCTGCAGATCATGACATCCCTGATGAGATGGATAGGTGAGTCTGTAAACTTCTTCAGTTTTAGCAAGTTTCCATCCCGGTCATTACTGATGGAAACTGACTCTGAGGTATTGTAGATTGCTGTTGGAGTAACTCTCATGACCTACATAGTCTGCCCTCTAAAAGACCTGAGTTAACCATAGAATGTCTAGGAAGGAGTACTGCAGAAAGGAATCTAGGGGTCATAGTGAACCACAAGTTAAAAATGAGTCAATAGTGTGGCGCTGCTGTAAAAAAAGCAAACATGATTCCAAGATGCATTAATAGGAGTGTTGTGAGAGAGACACAAGAAGTCATTCATCCGCTCCACTCTGTACTGATTAGTCCTCAGTTGGAGTATTGTGTCCAGTTCTGGGCACCACATTTCAAGAAAGATGTGGAGAAATTGGAGAAGGTCCAGAGAAGAACACAAAAATGATTAAAGGTCTAGAGAACATAAAATTAAATTAATGGAGATTGCCTATCTCCTAGAACTGGAAGGGACCTTGAAAGGTCATTGAGTCCAGTCCCCTGCCTACACAGCAGGACCAAGTACCATCCCTGATGAATTTTTGCCCCAAATCCATAAATGGCCTCCACAAGGATTGAACTCTCACCCTGCGTTTAGCAGGCCAATGCTCAAACCACTGAGCTATCCCTCCCCCCAACATGACCCATCATAGAATACTAGGACTGGAAGGGACCTCGAAAGGTCATTGAGTCCAGTCTCATGCCCTCATGGCAGGACCAAATACTGTCTAGACCATACCTGATAGACATTTATCTAACCTACTCTTAAATATCTCCACAGATGGAGATTCCACAACCTTCCTGGGCAATTTATTCCAGTGTTTGACTACCCTGACAGTTAGGAACTTTTTCCTAATGTCCAACCTAAACCTCCCTTGCTGCAGTTTAAGCCCATTGCTTTTTGCTCTATCATGCCAAGATGAACAAATTTCTCCCTCCTCCTCATGACACCCTTTTAGATATCTGAAAACTGCTATCATGTCCCCCCTCAATCTTCTCTTTTCTAAACTAAACAAACCTAATTCCTTCAGCCTTCCCTCATAGATCATGTTCTCTAGACCTTTAATCATTCTCGTTACTCTTCTCTGGACCCTCTCCAATTTCTCCATCTTTCTTGAAACGCGGTGCCCAGAACTGAACACAATACTCCACTTGAAGCCTAACCAGCGCAGAGTAGAGTGGAAGAATGACTTTTCGTGTCTTGCTCACAACACACCTGTTAATGCATCCCAGAATCATGTTTGCTTTCTTTGTAACGGCATCACACAGCTGACTCATATTCAACTTGTGGTCCACTATAACCCCTAGATCTCTTTCTCCCTTTCTTCTATGAGGGAAGCCTGAAGGAATTGGGCTTGTTTAGTTTGGAAAAGAGAAGACCGAGAGGGGACATGATAGTAGTTTTCAACTATCTAAAAGGTTGTCACTGGGAGGAGGGGGGAAATCGTTCTACTTGGCCTCTGATAATAGGACAAGAAGCAATGGGCTTAAACTGCAGCAAGGGAGGTTTAGGTTGGACATTAAGAAAAAGTTCCTAACTGTCAGGGTGGTTAAACACTGGAATAAGTTGCCTAGGGGAGTTGTGGAATCTCCATCTCTGGAGATATTTAAGAGCAGGTTAGACAGACATCTCTCAGGGATGATCTAGACCAGGGGTGGGCAATAAATTTTGAAGGGGGGGGTACTTCACAAATTTCGGAAGTGGCCACAGGCCAACCCTGAAGGGGTGGGGCCTCTGGCGGAAGGGGCAGGGCATGTGCTGTAAAAAGACACCACTATGTTTTTTACACAACAGAGTAATTAAATTTTAATAATAATTAACTGCATGCAACAATATTCAGAGATTATTGTAGAGCAGGGGTGGGCAAAAGCCTTTCAGCGGCAGTTCCAGGCCCTGCCCCCTAGCGCGTTGCCTCAGAGCGGGAGAGGGGCACTAGCCCTTCTAACTGCTTCTGTTTAAAGAGCTCATGCCTTCCCCCACACCTTGCTTAGCAGCTGCAAGGAAAGCGCAAGCCCTTTAAATAGAAACAGTTGAAAAGGTTCGTGTATCTGGCTCCCTAGCAATGCTAGAGGCGCGGGGAGCTGGGAGCTCTTTTAAGCACTTCTACTTAAAGGGCTGGTGCCTTCCCTTCTCTGTTAGGTAAGGTTGCCTAGCAGCCACAGGGAACATGAGAGCTCTTTAAAAAGAAACAGCTGAAGGGGCTCACAGCTCTGGGTGTCTTTAGCCTGCCTCGCAGGCTGAATCTAGCCTGCTGAGAGCCTTTGGCCCACCCCTGATCTAGACGGTGTGCTTGGTCCTGCGTGGGGGCAGGAGACTGGACTTGATCTCTCAAGTTCCCTTCTAGTACTAGGATTCTATGATTTTTTTTGTTTCACCTTCCTTTTAGATGTGAGGTTTCAAATGTGTATTTGCTAAAATGGTGACTGGTTCCAAGTGTATTGCTGATGGTGCATGGTATGCTGTTTGAGGCAGCATACCATGCACCATCAGCAATACACTTGGAACCAGTCACCATTTTAGCAAATACACATTTGAAACCTCACATCTAAAAGGAAGGTGATCCTGGCTTAAAAAAAAAAAAAAAACAAAAAAAAACAAAAAAACACTGCATGGTATGCTGCCTCAGAAACCATACCATGCACCAACAGCAATACACTTGGAACCAGTCACCATTTTAGCAAATACACATTTAAAACCTCACATCTAAAAGGAAGGTGACCCTGGCAAAAAAAAAAAAAATTAAATTAAAAAATAAGAAACTTCTTCACTAGCACAAACTGTTTTCAAGAGGCACTCTGCCTTTTTTCCTAAGCCCCAGTGTGACTCTTATGGTATTTCACTTAAACAGCAATACACTTGGAACCAGTCACCATTTTAGCAAATACACATTTAAAACCTCACATCTAAAAGGAAGGTGACCCTGGCAAAAAAAAAAAAAATTAAATTAAAAAATAAGAAACTTCTTCACTAGCACAAACTGTTTTCAAGAGGCACTCTGCCTTTTTTCCTAAGCCCCAGTGTGACTCTTATGGTATTTCACTTAAAGCAAAGCACAAAAGGGATTTTTTTTGAAGGAGCATGTGGAAATTCGGTTTCTTGTGATCAGAGTACTATCCATGTTGGTCCACCTCTCCATCTCACAACTGGAATACCAAGACTTGAATTTTCCAGTGTCAAGGCAGGGGACGATGGGCATTATTCTCATTGATCAGGCTTTTGGATTTTGTGTCTTGGTGTAATTGTTTTCCCAGTGGACCCTCCTGATCAAAGGGTCAGTTTCTTTAGGATCCAGGACTTGGAAATAAATGGGACGAATCTATTCCATCAGGATAGAGTACATTGTGGCAGGAGGTGATCACTTTAGTTTGCTCTTTTGAGCACTGATGATTTTAATAGAGAACCCACCCTGAATCTTGTCAATCATCCAAAGACTTAATTGCAGTTAATCTTGGCCATGTACATACGTTTCAGGAAGAGGCTGCATACATCACATTCTGTTTTGTCCAGATTTCTGAATGTTTATCTCAATCTACTGCATCCCCAGATGAGGTAACTGATACCTATCATTAGTCTGTGTCAGGAGGGAAAATTGACTTTGCCTAATTCAGCCTGTCAGGCTTTTCCACCTGTTCACTGTCACTTATGTAAGCAATAAAGGCTAGTTTCTGTTAACCAAGTTCAAAGGCCTGTGATCCTTATCTGAACCCCCTCCCCGCCACCCCCCCAGCACATTATTCTAGGGGAGCTGGATGCCAATATTTGAGTGAGGTTTGTCAGGAGTCAGTCTTAGGGAAATGAATCTCTCTCAGTAGATAATGGAGATTAAGATGCAGAACCTGAAATGTTGAGCAGTTTGAAATAATGAACACTGACCCAGCATGGAAATGTCAGTCTTTCGCCTTTGTTGTCTGAGCACATGAAAACTTTGAAAGTCCCTTGCTCCCCAATCGGAGAAGTTATCTCATTAAGGATTATTAAAGGTAATAAAAAATATAATCCTTTCCCAGCTCACTGGCCAACTTCCAATCACCTGGTTTCCTTCACCCCTGCCGGATGCATTAGTCAAATCTCCCGCCTGCGTGACAACCTGGCACCTGGCTGACCTGCCATTGGGTTGTCTCTAGCCATCTGCCTCCAGAGGAAGGTGTTCTTTCCTTAACAGGCATAGTGTTTGGAAAGGTATAGGGGAAATTCATGCTTTAGCCTGATAGATTCCTTTGTCAGGCCATTCAGGGGCTGTCTGCCCCAGATAATGATGCTTAATGGCCCTAGTAGTACCTTAGTGGCTACTTATTGCAATGGATCCCATAAGTAGTAGATTTATAGTAAAAGATTCTTAAAATGAAGGTGAGATTAAACAGTAAATAACAACGGTCCAGCTGCAGGGCTTTGGTTTGGTCTGCCACAGAGTTTGGGGAGAGAATGAATCCACACATTTGGCTTGGGGTCATACTCGTCTTGCAGAGCTTGCAGGATGGCGGGAACTGGACCATACACTTGGCAATCCTGAACAGTGTTCTCTCTAAGGGTATGTCTAGACTACATGCCTCTGCCGACAGAGGCATGTATAGTGCAGACGAGTGTATTCTATTGTTGGCTCTTTTACTCATCAGCTGCGTGTCCTGGAGCATGTCACTAAATCTCTATGGGTACGTCTAGACTACATGCCTCTGTCAGCATAGGCATGTAAATTAGACTACCCAACATAGCCAATGAAGTGGGGATTTAAATATCCTCCACTTCATTAAAATGAAAATGGCCGCTTCACTGTGCCGGCTCAGCTGATCATCAGCACAGCACGGCAGTCAAGACGCGGATCGGTCGACAAGGGAAGCCTCGTTTCATGAGGCATAAGGGAGCGGTCGACAAAGGCATTCCCTGTCAACCGATCCGCGTCTTGACTACCACACTGTGCCGACGATCAGCTGAGCTGGCACAGTGCGGCAGCCATTTTTATTTTAATGAAGCGGGGGATATTTAAATCCCC